ATAACAAGTTGCCGCGATATCGAGAAAAATAAGAAATTCGCTCGAATAAATAGTCTAACGTTATCAAAATCTAGGAATGGAATTAAACGGTCCATAAATCCCGTCAGTCTTGGAACGATCACGCAATGCACGGAGTTAAAGCGCGTTAATCACAGCCCATTAAAATAACCCCGTGGCGGTTTCGATCCTCTTACCTCTTGCCACGTAACCGATCGCATGTCGATGCAAAGTGCGCACGCTTGTCTTCTGATCTTTTGACCTACTGCCGTTTTATTATATCCCTATGAATTATATCCAGAGAGACGAATTCGCAGGAAAAGCTGCGCTTTAAAACTCGTGGAGAGGAAAATCGGTTGATCTTGTTACAGGTAAACGCGCAAAAAGAAGCAATCTCGGAAATGTTGGTGGCGCATGCCATCAAGGCGAAAGTCAAACAAGGGAGAAAATCACGAGACGAAACGGGTGGTACTTGTTGCGCTAACTGGTTACGATCGTTTCTTAAATCCGCGCAGGAACGATAGATTAATTTTAATCGAGTTTGCTGTACTAGTGGCTGGTTGATTATTCGTTGGAAAGAGACTACATGTTTCCGTGTTCCAGAAAGTGAAATTGCTTGTGAAGGTGTCGGTTGTCGTTTTTCTATTTTTTTTTTTTNTTTTTTTTTTTTTTGGAATCGTTTTTGAAGATTTAATTATAGATACGATTTTTTAATTGTTTTAATTATTCTTAATGAAAGATTAATGTAAGATTAAAATTGGTAAGAATTTTTATATAGAAGTATAGAAAAATGAACAGTGGAAAAATTATTATTCATAAGTTTTTATAATATACAAGATTTCTCAATCATTCTCCAATATGTATAATTGGAAGAAAAGTTAAAATACTTTACAAGTATTTTGAAAAATGTTAGAAATAGTTTCGCAACTTAAATAAGATTCGATCCTTTTATGAGTAATTCGATCAAGAATTATTTTTTTATTTTATGCAAACATATAATTATCACAGTAATACGATATCTTTGTATATGGTATTTCATGGTTATAATAGTTAACTACAGTTATAATAGAACTACAAGTGAAATCAAAACTACATTGCATGTAATATGATATGTAATTTCTTGTCTTTCAAGGTTCTCTATTGATGTTACAAGATTGGATTCTTTCAAATGTAACTTAGAAGTATTACATACTCGAATCCTACAAGAATCTAATTTGGAATTTCGAAATTAACTTGTATAATCTTTATAATTTTAAAAACATCATCTCTCCCTTGAATAGTAATCAAATTCTTTGAAGCACATTTTTTTTATATTTGAAATTGATCAAACAAGCACATACACAAGAAAATAAATACTGTCGATGTTAATTAAGATTATCGTTTCATACAAGATTAATTCTTAATATTCTCTTTATTTAAAATATCATATCCAAAACGTATATGCAGATAATAAAGTTTTCTTTGAGAAAAGAGTTTCTGTTAAAAAAAATAAATTAAATCTCGAAGCACAGAGAGAAAGAGCCTTTCAACTTTACTTAAAAGTTAATGCATGTGTAATTTAAAAAAAAATTCCGATATTCATACGTTATAATAAAAAAAAAAAAGGAAAAAGAACGTTCTAATCAAAGACAAGATTGTCTAATTTCTCAGAGTGTTCAGGATTTATTATCACACAACGATAACGATAAATGTCGCCTCGTATCATAAAGCCTCAAATTCGACACGGTACGCGATAACCGTGTTAAATAGAAATGCGAAAGAGCAATTTCCCCAAGAGAACAAATTTCAGCGTGAGCACGATTTGCCAACATTTCGCCCGCAAATGCAAGAACAAGGTGCACACGGCGCGCTTATCATTGAGACACGTATAATTTTCTTAGAGCGCAGACGTGCTCCCGATAAACCCGCGACGGAATAATTTCTAACTGTACGGGCCTTATTCCATCGTTCCACCGTGCAATGCTCGCAGATTGTCCGAGTAACAAGCATTAATCGTAGGGAACCAGTACAACGAACGGTGCTTCGAATTTTTATCGTCGAACAGAGAGCAAAAAGGGAGGGGAGATCTCGTACAACTTGGCCAACGAATGGAAAATTTTCTGTTCTGTTCCGTGTATTAAAATGGAAAAATGGAAATTACGTACGCGATGAGCGGGTTGCATTTTTAATAGCTTGTTTTATAATTGACGAGAGCTTGATTTTCACGGGGAAAATTTCTTTATTTCTATATTTACAAAGAAGAAAAGGAGAAAAATAAAAACAGGGAATGGGTAAACAATATTGCATAAAGTATTTTTAATATCGTTTTGGAATTGAGGAGGAGCTTCATTTTTATTATACTTTGTAGAACAGTGAGTAAAATTCTTGCAAAGATTTATTGAATGCAAAGAATTTTCCACTTCTGTACGAAAGATAAAAAGGATTATGCGAAATATTTTAATATCGTTCCACAATTGATGAGAAATTAATTTTCGCTACACGTCACACATATCCCTTTGTCATAAGACGATAAAGATCTCTTTAACTTGTGAAATACAATTATATTGAAAATATGCGTAAACGATATCGCGATCGAATCGTTCGTCTTCAAAAAAAGACATTTTTAATCCTTTGAAGCTTTGTAAGAAGAAACACAGAATTGTAGCAAATAAGCATATTAATAGCGTTTTCCCTTTGCCATCTTTTTTAACTCTGAAAAAAAAAAAAAAAGAAATGAAAAATTAATCTGATACCGTAATAAAGGAAATATTGAAAATATCCACGGATGATCGTGATCGAATCGTTCATCTTCGAAAGGACATTTCTCTGTTTTGAAGCTCTGTAGGAGGAGATGAGGAATTGCAGCTGTTAATTATGGTTATTATATTACGTCGTTTAAGTTTCACACGACGTTTCCAAGCTTTTGGTATTTCTAGCTTTGTCATAACGCTCATGATTCTTTCTTTACACTTTTATTCGACACAGTAGTGACTGAAATTGTAGATTTCTATCCGATGCTTTATTCTTTTTGAATGCTTTTATTCTTTTAAGACGCTTTGCACGTAACGCATTCGAAAATATTGCCAAGTTCTTTTTATATTAATCAAAATGGCACAAAGAATTTCGAATAGTATTAGATATTATCTTTTTTTTCTTCTTATTTTTATTTATTTTATATTTGCAGAAATATTATGCTCAAAATAAAATATTATAATAGATATTATATTTAGTTTATAGTATAACTTACGTAGAATGGAAAATATGAATCTTTTGCATTTAAACTTGCGATATACATCATCTATCAATATCGAATTTTTGAAACGCATTAAAAATTTCCTGTACAAGTTTTTTTTAGAAAATTTTTAAAGGAATCATACAAACCCATGATAAAAATCTTTTATATTTTCTTGAAATTATCATTAAATTATAATTCCTTGAAATTACTTAAAAATAAAGAATCGCGATATATGTACATTATTATCTATATTCTATATTCTTTCAATCTATCTTCTTTCTTTTAAATACACCAAATAATTTAAAAAGCAAACTATTAATTAGGAAAGAAAACAATTTTTGTTTTCAGTTTTTTAAAACTGTACCAATATCCTTTACCGAAGATACAATTTTTCGCTGGAATTATTAATAAACTTTTCAACTCAATTCGACAGCAATCGATTCATGATATAATTTCAGACACTATTTACAATTTAACCTTACATTTTTATTAAATTATAAAATAATATATTGAAGTAGAAATAAAAAGAATCAAATGAAATTTATTCGTATACGCAACAAAATTTCCTTTCAACTCATCGTATAAAATAAAATTACGGCGTGATTAAATATGTCCAGCCACTGCACGGCGACAAAAGTCGTAAACAGTGACAGTGAAACGGATCCTCGTATCGAGCATCGGGATCAGTAAAAGCGCACACTATCTTTCCCCCCCCCCCCCCCCCCCGATGGTCCCTCCTTCGACCGTGACGACTACTTACGTTTTGCTGCAAACCGCTTAAACCCTTTCACCGTCACCTATACTAACGCTTGCCGCATACGCTCTCTATCTTTGCCACATTGTTTAACAGCCTCGCTTCCCTGCCCACCTTGTGTGCCCACATCGCGTGTTGTTACTCGTTCCACCATCGAGCAACCCGAGTAATATACTCAATGGCAAATACCAAACGGAGTTACGAAATCATTTTGGCCTCCTTTTTTTTAATGGCTAATACGATCGTGCCCAAGCGAATCGTCTTTTTTCCATGTCACTAACTGTTCATGAAACACGATATACAAGTATACCAATTAATAATATCGATTGATTCACGCCTGTGTATACGTTTGATGAGATGCTTTTTTTTTCTTTTTTTTTTTTAGAAGAAGCATTGTTTGAAGTAGCATTTCACGAAATGAAGAATAAAATTGTATTAGTAGTAATATATATATATATATATATATATTAATGGATCGACAGTAAAATTCATTTTTTTTTTTCATCATTTCAGTCTTATAAGCGAGATACATATTGGCGTGGATATTATTAAATAACAATGGTTTCGGTGATTAATATTAATTATTATACGCACTTGCTAATTTTAACTCGATAATTATCTGCCAACGTAATCATTTAAGGATGTATTTAAATTTGAAAAAGGAAAAAACAATTCGCCGATATTGGGTGAACGATATAAATGAGAAAAGTTGGCAGTTAATGCGGAATAAATGTTGCAGAAGTCGATGCAAATCGAAGTCTCCCTTCCCTTCATCACCATATCACAGTTTCGTCGAATCATGATCACGTGACTTAGATTTGCATACGTCTCTCTGGCAATCTGGTATTTTTCAGTCGCATGCAAATTCGGCTCGATACATGGTCAACTATTGAAAACGAGATCAACATTGTATACAATCATTTACTTTTTAACGCTCGGAATATCATTTCTACTTTTTTTTTTTTTTTTCTGTCTACCTTAAACTCGACTTGCCATCTGTGCCCCCGTCATCAAATCAGTGAAATGTTGCTTCAGAGATGGCGAAGCCCGTGCAACCAGCGGTTCTGCCCGAAAACGGGCGAGGCGAGCTGCCCGATGAACGGGACAATGAAATCGTCATCGAGCTGGATCGAGAAAATCAGTACGGTCGTACGCAGCCACGAGCTAACGAGCCTCAAGGTAATCATTTGCGCAATATCCAGATGGTCCACCCACATCTCATGTCACCGACACATTTTTTTTTTTTTCCTCCCTCCGTTTCTTTTGTTCATTAGTCTCTCGATCACACGTTTCCATTTCCCCCCTCCCCACACGCTTTCAATCATCCGATAGGTATACAGGATATCCTGATAGTAGTTTTTCCTGACCAAACTTTCTTTTATGCGCGTTCTATATGGCTATAAATGAGATTAAAAATTGTTGTGTAAACGTTGCAGATCGTTTGAAGCGTTATTAAAAAGTTGTAATGAACGATGCTTCGTCCCCCGATGTATCGTTAGATCTGACGTTAACAGAATTTGTTGTACAACGTTTCTTTCGAGAGGATGATGTATAACCGGTATCTAAATGGCGAGTAATATCGCGATAGGAAAAGTTGGTGATCGATTAAGATAGAATAAAATCGTGTAGAAAGAGTTATGATACAATTTATTGTCTCTTTATAGATGTTATAATGGAAAGTGTGAATATAAATTTATTGCTTTTGTGTGTCATTATAAACATGTATAAACGTGTATTTATTTTCCTTGTATAAGAAGTAAGTGTAATACGAATTATGCATATTTTAGCTATAATTTTTTAATAGAAAAAAAAAGCTCCAAACGATCTACGATTTTCTCTTGTCTATAACCATTATTAAAATACATCGATCAGGAAACGTGGAAACTATCCTGTATACCAACTCAACCACGATCACCAATTCCATTCTGTGCGAACAGTTCGAGCTGGTTCAATCATTCGCGTCACACTGTTGCGGCTCTCCTCGTCTATATGTATCTGTTTCACGTATACAGTGTGTCCTAACTTTGTGCACCGTACTCACTCTGTTGTCTGTAACTAGTTGCACCGACCGGCCTGCCACCTGGTTTTTTTTTTTATTAAGATGTACAGCCAAAATAGAAGGGAAAGAAAACGTGTGAAAAGAGTGTGGGGAGAACGGGACTCGAACCATGAAATTGCGCTTCTGCCGAGGAGGGAATTGCTACTCTGGCTGTGCAACACCCTCCGGCTGGCGATCCAGTTTCGTGATTCGATTTCTTCGTGTCGAATGTAACGGTGAACCCAACGTTCGAAGAAGCTGTTCGAAGAGGCGGGAATAGGACTGATCGGCTATTCACGTACGTTAGATAGAATCGCGCCTTTCGTCCGTGGTTCAAACGGCTCGGCCATTTTACGAGGGATCGTAATCAGAGAGATCGTTCCGACGCGCTTTGACGTTGTCAAAAGCGAAATTTACGGATATCATCCTGATATGTAATATATCGATTGATTCGCTAATTGTACGCTAATTGCGTGATTTTCATCGATGAGCTGATAAAGGGATGAAGGCGATCGCTCCTTCGTTGCTAATTTGATGCGAGATGATGAGGGATCGAAAGGTTTGTACGCTTGTCGAGCGTTCTATGGGAGATTTGTAACTGTTTGGTATAATTAGAGGAGAGATGGATCTGTGGATTGAAATGAACCATTGTACGAGGCTTCGTTCGCGAGGGAACGATTTTCGAACATTGATTGAACATGGAAAAGATAAAACTGCAAAGAAAGAATATTTTGTTTTTATGATTCTACGATTAAAAGAATATACTCAAAATGATAATAATTTTAATTTTTCAACAAAAATCATTTAAGGTTGCATGATTTCACTTTACATGTTAATTTGACAATTTTATAATTCAAACAAAAATTTATTATAGATTTACATTCATATACCCTGAAACGAAGCCACGCACAGAAACTTCATATTTTAAATTCTCTCGTTTCATCGTCTCCAGAATCCAATAGTACCATCAGTTACGAAAAAAAAAAAAAGAAAAGCCCATACAACCTCGTACACCGTACAATCGCGTCCCTTTCTCGGCAAATCTGTTTCCTCTCCCTTTCCTCCTCCCTACCATTTCCTCGAAGAAATATCCCGTGGCCAAGATGAAGAAGCAAATACACACACCTTGTCTCCGCCCGATCACTGATTCAACTTTTATTGCAGACGTGATCGCGACACCGGTGGTGTACTCCGCCCAGACTCTGACCGGTGCCCTGATAGGGACCTGCTTCTTCTCGCTGGTAGCCGGCTTCGCTTCCGGTTTCTGGTTCTCCCAGAGGCTACGGGGCGCACCCTATCCGGAACCATCGGAGCAGCGGCAACAGTTGAACCGGTTGACGGAGAGCTCCGAGTCCCCGGGGTTCAACAACAAATCCATCAACCTTGTGCTGAACGTGCCCCCTAAAAATCCGAACGGGAAGAACGCGAACTCGTCGGCTGAGAACAAGCCGGTGCAGAAGGTGAAGAAGACGTACATATGATATAGAAGACGACACAGGGCCGTCTGAGGCTTGCCGCAGGACCCAACGGGTTCCGGCTCATCTTCTTCCTCCTCTTCCTCCTCCGACCTCGCGGAATCAGACGATCGAAACGACGACGACGACGACGAAGACCCGGACAACGTTGACGAGGAGGGCGATCGGGTCGCCGGTCGCATGGTTGGCGGTGAGCAGCTGGCAAGACACGAGGAGGACGCTTACGAGAGCGTGGCCAGCGAGGGGAGATCGCTCGAGTTCCTCGCCACGCCCAGGGAGGCGGCGACCTACGACTCACGATCTATGTCGAAGATCATCGATTACGGGAGAAGATACGATCACCAGTTTCCTAGCGGTGGGGAGTACACCGAAACAGCGTTAATGGAGCCGGTGAACGGGCTTCAAGATTACAGCAGCAGCAGCGCGAACAGCCTCGACGATCTTTGCCGCGGGCATCGTCAGCGCGCCCTCAACGATTTTAATCGGGGGGACGAGTCGGCGGGCACGCGGGATCACTACATGGTTCCGACCAGAGACCCGAGAGAGTTGAACGAGAGGATCCTTTCCCTGTTCAATCCACAGTTCCTGCCGAATTTCAACGACATGATCATGTACGTTGCGAACCAGTACGACGCCAGACGAAGCCCGCCACCTAGATCGCGCTCGATGGCGGACGGGGAGGATCGATTGTTCAGGCGGTCGAGCAGCTGTCAAAAGAAACGCGTTGGGGCGAGTTCCATGTTCTTCCGCCGTGGATTAACGTACGAAACGGCGCGCAAGTGACAACGGCTGTCCCCTTTCGGATTCAAACGAAGGATAGAACGTTGGGTCGATCGAGTGACGCGCGATAAAACGTAAAAGGAATTACGCTTGAACGCTGTTGTCTTGGCTGCCGACGAAATGGAAGGAGATGCTCGATTGAAGCTTGGAAGATCGACGGGCAACTACTTGGAAGGAAACTGTGACTGGTCGATTGGTTCTTTCTTGGAGAACGGTTCACATAGATGATCGTTCCCCTATCCGATGATCGTCCTTCCTGATGATTAAAGGGAGAAGAACTTTTTGTTCCTTGCGAGTTCACGCAAAGGAAGACCACGATATTATTATTGCATACCTAAGTGTCGGCGTTACCTGAGATGTCTCGAGGATGTGGTGTACTCGAGAGGCACGGATTTCATTTTCGTCGTCGTTCAATACGACCACATGTGTACAGAACGACCGGTACGTTGCAAGGCCACGTGCTTCCGGTGTCACGTGTCGTATCGTCTGATATACATATATGTACCGCGAGAACAGAGACACACGCGTACTTTGGAACTATTTTTTTAAGATAATAATTCACAATTCAGGCTCTCTCCGAATGTCTTAAATATAAGCGCGGCATCGCGTGTCGGACGCTCCAACACAACTTGAGCTAATTTTTGTACAGAATTCGAACGATTTTCGAGTTCTTCCTTTCCGTTTCTCACTAGTACGGCAATGGAGGGAATACATGGGAAATGAAGGGACACACAAAAAAAAAAAAATTGATGGAGTATCAAACAAAGCAAACAACGACGATGGGACAAAGGATCGGACTCGTAACTGTGTAATGTGATACGATCTGAGGAGAGTTCTGTGTTCGTAGCAGTGGCCTGCTTAGGTGCTTAGAACCGCGGTGATTTAAGGACGTAGACGAAGCGTCTTGCCACCACGTTTCTCAAACTACCCTCCGTGAAGAACTTTCGCCCCTCGACCGGGGTAATATAATAGTAACAAGGGAAATAAACTAAACAAGATGAAAAGAAAACTTATCGAACAAGATTCGTTTTACGAGAGAGAAAAAATAAAAAAAGAATCGCTTGCTATGAAACGCTCCTATCAAATTCGCTTTGATCCTAGAGACAAGGTTGAGGATAGTTCAATGATAGTTTAACGAGAATATAATATAAAAAGTTAAGAAGTGTAAAGAGGAGACGATTTTGTAAAGAGAAGAGGTATTTAAAAGAAGGGGTTGAAGTTTGAGAAACGTGATCTCGTGGAGGGACGTTTCGAAAGCATTCGCGGGAGACGAGGCGTGCCTTCCGTATATTAATTGTTGGCAAATTTCTGATCTATAAAAAAAAAAACAGGAACGGGAGAATGCGGCCGGTATAGATTCGGGCAAGTGCCTCATTTATGCGTTTCGTTTAAAAAAAAAAATGAAATATTCGATAGAGGAAGGGGGGAGGGGGGGGAGTGGTGAATATGAAAAAAAAAAAGGGTGAGAAAGAGAGCGAGCGAGAGCGAAAGAGAGAAAGAGAGATTGAGAGAGATATAATAGAGACTTATGTAAGACTTATTCGAAGTATTGTTGTGCACTTATTGCCGTGCTGTGAGTATATTGGTTATTAGCAAGAGAGAATTGTAGTGTTTGAGGCACGAGTACGGTTATTAAAATGAAAAAAAGAAAAAAAAAAAAAAGAAATGAAAATATGGAAGAAACATTTACCGCGTTGTAACGTCTTCGAGAAGTTATGTATTTTTGGCTGGGACGTGTTATAAATCGATTTATAACTGTTTAACGGGCGAGATGTGGAGGTGTATCTTTTTCTCTCTTTTTTTTTTTTTTTTCCTTCTTTTATTTTTAATCCTTAAGATATAATAATGCTGCGTCGCGAATGAATCGCTCGAATGCGATTATCATTTTATTCCAACATGTAAGATAACAATTCTAAGGTTAAGATCAATTTTAATTTTATAAATGTAGAAATGCAAGGTAAAATTTTCGGCATCCGAACTGATAATAATTTTTATACATTCTAAGAAAAATACGCAACAATATTTATTAGTGTAAGTAGGAAAAAAATAATATGAAAGAATTTTTAGTAATTTCGAATTCATGTTTTTACTCTCGTGCATCAATGTTCTTTTTTTCATGAAATATTGAAAAAAAATAATATCTTAAATTTTATTTTATCTCTTTACTAAAAGTATTAACATAATTGACAAATATATTTATCGAATCATCTGAAAAGAAATTATTTTATTCTATTTTAATCATGTATATATACAAATTATTATACTATCGCTACGCTATACTCTAATCAAATTTAAAGCAAAAGAAAATATATCTTCGTAGAAGAGAAAATATTCGAATAATAAAGTATTTAGTAAAAAAAAAAAAAAAATATTTAATAAAATATTTAATAAAGGTAATAAAAGTTCGGATGACAAAAATCCTACCTTAAGAAAATTATAATTCTAAACGAATTGTATAGTTTCAAAAAAATTCAATCTCGTGAATAAGAAAGAAATTAGAGGAACGATTTTTCAGCGAATTTCGCGGAGATCAATCAAGCGAACAAGATAAAATAAATAAATCGAGAAAAAGGCGACTTTTCAGGTTCGGATAAACGCATTCGCGCGATTCGCTTCAGCTGGTATGTATTCCTTAGAGCCGGTACCGCATGTTATCCGACACCTTAGCGAAAACTTGGTAGCGTGTACGACAGTTCTCTACGACAAAGTATTCACGAAGAAAGCTCTGTTCGAAAGGGAGCTCCGTTCGAAAGAAGAAGGGAGAGGAATCTTGGCAAGATGCCTTTGACAATGGCGTAAATCGGTCTTACTTGGGTACAATAGCGAACACTGGGCGTATTTCCTTTACAGCTTAACCGCGGATCGAGTGCCTGTAAGAAGCGGCGGCTAACGTTTGTCCCAGATATCGGGCAAAAAAATGAAAAGAGAACAAAGGGAATATAGATCGAGAACGTGACCGTGATACCACGAAAATAGAGCGATTTATCCAGTTCTTCGTCGAGTTAGCGTGTAAATATAGGAGATGAGAACGATCTCGAGCATTAGCTTTAATCGCGCTTTATAGATTCAGAGGAAGGATGGATTGAGGAGATGTTTAAGAAGAAATAATTTTTAGATTGATTAGAATCTTTAGATCGTTAGATTGTTGTTTAAGGAGACAAAATATAGGTAATAGACTCTTTTCATCGTCGATTCTTCACATCGATGGACAAACGTCCAGCCGCTCTCGTTAACCAACACTGCCGCGCCAATTCTAATAATTCGAAGAACGAAGAACAATAAGACGAGTTCTAAATAAAATACATCGATTTCCACTGATTGTCACTGAGCGTTCCGAGAAAGAGAACGGAAGAGGAGAGATATGAACGATGATCGGATAAAGAGGAATCTTGACACACAAGATACATACATACGTACGTACATAAAGAGAGATCATAATATACGCGTTTTAAAATGATCATTAATAAAGAGATACACACACACACACACACACACAAATACACACATATACATACACGGTTTGAATACGATTGAAGGAACAACGTAGAGAATGGTCTGAAGTTGCGTGGTGGAAGAATGAAGAAAGTCGTGTACATAATATTAAGTAGAAATTGTTTTTTATCGTTGAAATCATTTTAATGCAAGATCGAGAATTTCATTCGTTACGCTACTCGTCACGCGGACAGCAGTGGTACGCATTATTAATATTTACGTATACGTGTATACACGTACGTGTGTGCGCGCGCGTGAATATTTGTATACGTAAATAATTGCATTTTCATTATTACATATACATATATATATATATATATACACACATACATACAATAAAAATATATATATATATATATTTTTTTTTTAATCCGCATAGATAAAAATATACTATACAAACGGAGAAAAAAATGCGCTAAACAAGAGAGGCAGCTAATTACATACTTTTTTCGGCGGTCTTTGTGAAAGTCCGCGATCTTTTCTAATTAAAATTCCGCCGAGCAATCGCGGTGTGTTCTCGTTTAACGTTTTACGAGGAACAATTAACAACCGAGTGTTCGGCAAAAAAAAAAAAAAATATTTTACAAATACGATGTTTATATTATACAAAAAAAAAAAAAAGCATCCAACTTAGGTACCTTGTGTCGAAATGAGAAATTATATATATATATATAATTAAAAATTATATATATATGTGTAATATTTTTATATATATATATATATATATATTATTGGCAGATTGTTATATGCTATAATATTTCTAAATTAGACGAATCGAGGAGGCATATAAATATATATATATATATAAATATTATGGATGTACATGTATACAAAGCGTTTTATTAGAGTTACGTATTGTAAGGACAATTGTACATATTATTACTCCATTTGAAACCTTGACTTCGTCGCGCTACATGTTACAAAATTTCAAGAATTTGCATCATAGATTCTGTTCGATCATGTTTTCCGTCTCTTTTTCTTTTTTTTTTTTTTTTTTTTTTTAATTCGTTTCATTTAATTTTTTAAGACAGAAACGCTTGCACGCTATCCCAATTCGCATCGTGTATCTCATTGTTCATACCCATTATATTCAAATTTCGAATCGAGAGATTTTTTTTTCACGCTAAAAATGTAAGGGATGAGACTTCAAAACGCGACGAAAGTCATGCGTGACGCGAAGATGGTATTTGTGTGGTATTCTGCATATTTGATAAATGCAATTTGTTAAAAATGAATCGATTTTTGACAAATATCAATTCGATCAAAAAATTTATAATTCATAATTTTTTACATTCTCCAAAATCGAGATGATGTATCAATTATTCATGTCGAATTGTCTTCATGGTGAATGTACTTTATTTGGAAATCAAGTATAATTGGTAATTGAATTTTTCAACAATTTACAATTTGGAATGATTAAAATTTCAATAATAAATCAATAAAATCAATTTGTTATACACAATATATTCCTAAAATCCGTAAAGGAACTTGGACGTAAGCTGTTACAAATTTACAAATTAAATTATATCTTCAAAAATATTGCCGAAAAATCAACTATTTTAATTTGATCTATGAATTTAACTATCGCTATATAAAATGCAACAAACACCAAGATACCAATATTGACTCAACGAAAAATCGAATTCCAAAAGCAGAAACTGATTCGAACGAACGTTAACCCGATTCGATGCTAATCTTCCGCACGGTTTGCGTCACGGTTCGAGGGAAGAAATCCGTTTTCCGGTTGGCAAACGAATTCGCAAGAGAGGGAGGGAGTGCAGCCATCTTACTCAGAAAATCGGTCGTACTCATTCTAGAAAAGTTTCGAGGGATTCCACGATATTCTCGCGCGATGGACGAAGTATTCAAACGATTCGAATAAATTGGAACTATTCGAGTTATTCGATTCGACAGGGGACGTTCCCTTCCGTAGAACGACGTAGTAGACGCCCCCTCGATTCTTCCTCTCTCTCTTTCTGTACATTTCCTGAGATTTGAAAGTCGAATTGATCGGGCGATGAGAGATTCACCGAAAATTCACTTGCATACCTGGTACCGGAAACGCGTCACGCGCTAGCGTTAGGATATAACGTAATAAAGATCGCATTAATTAGGTAAAATAAATGCAACATTCCAGGTAGAAGCCCCGGGACTGCCGACCCGGTTGACAAATAGCGGTTAAAAATCGCGTCAATTGGAAGGATTGCGAATCATAGTGTTTTTTCGATATCGTTATTTTTTTTATTATTTTATAATATTATCGAAATATTGAAGAAAATTAGAATTTTTTCATTCCACTTTTACAATTCTTAATCGATAATTTATATCTAACATTTCGATAATTTTTATCAATTTCTTCGAGATATCCTTTGATTTAAGAAATAAATTAAACGTGATTGTAAATTTCTACAAAGGATATAGAAGTTTTTAAATTTATTTAAAAGCAGAAGAATTTAAAATACTTCAATTTATTTTAAAAATTAATAAAAAAGAAATGCTAGAAAATTAGAGAGATGATATTTTGATATTTGAAATCATTTGATATCATATCATATTAAACTTACATTCTTTTTTTTATTTTTAACTTAACGATTGATTATTATTGAAGATTAAAATTTGGAAAACTATTCTATATTAATTTTTCTTAAAATATTAAAAATTCTTTTAATTAAAAGATATAAAGAGCGTAAAGAAGAATTAAAGAAAAATAGAAGAATCACTATGATTCTCAACCCAATCAATCGATATTCTTCTTCACAATTTGTTCTGATAACAAAGAATTTATCTGATATAATTTTTACTATTACAACTTTGCGAATCAAGAACAAATTAAGAATCTAATGTAAGTTAGATTGTAAAGCCAGGCAAGTCCTACGTTTTTTTTTTTTTTATTGATCATGCATTTTTTAGAAAGTATTTTTCTTATTTTTCAAAGTTAAGCGTAATTTTTAATTTCTCTTAGAATTAAATAATAAGAAATCTGCGTGAAGTAGCGTTTTTTTTTATTTTGTAATATCATGTAGCTTCGTTATATATTGTAATTGTAATGATTCCCTTCCCTTTTTGATGTTACGTGATGATTTGAATAAAAATGAAATAATAATTGGAAGAAAGATTCATTGAATTCAAGAAAATTGAATCGATATTCCTTTATAATTAATTATAAATTCGAAAATAGAATGACATAAATAATAATTAATTGAGAATATTAAAAATTAATTGAGAAACTTTATAAAACAAAAAGGATTTGAAGATTTATTGTTTCTTTTTTTATAATGATTTTTTATTTTTTTTATCTTTATATCTTATAATCTTATATTTTCTTATTTGACAATTATTATTAATTGTTTTTATTACATTAAAGATATATTTAAGAAATTAAAAATGAAAATTCTAATGCAATTGATTTAATTCGCTATTTTATCTTCTAGATCCTTTTTACAGATAAATCCTCAATTTAAAAATAATTTTTGTACATGTAAAAATATCATAAAAAATTATGTACAAGTGTGATGTGATTCATGTAATCATAAAAAAATAAGAAAAAATTATACATTAAAACTTTTTTATTTAAATAATTCAATTTTCAATAAAATCACATTGTAGATAGTTAAAATATTTTATCAAATGATATATAATTGATATAATATT